TACTGAGTCGTAGCACTAGGAACAGCAGAGACATGTCATCATGTGCACACAGCTGCACAGACATCCTTCACTCTCACCTGACAAAGAATGCCCTCCATTCAGTTTAGGCGGAATGATGCCTGAAACAGGTGACGCCAAAATGTTATTTCTATCAGTGCACATTTGTACGAACAAGATAAACTCTTCCTTTCCAACTTGTCAAGAATATTAATTATATTATCATAAATAAAACTGATTATAAACACCAAAACATTCAACCCCATGCAATAGCCCCATACCCGGTGTGTTTGGTTGCCAGGCCCTTAACTCCTGGAGAGCATGGTGAGCATGAATGAATCTTCATTCAAGAAAACTTAAACAATACCTGGATATGAACAGTACTTGTCTGAATTTTGATTTAACCAGGAAATGATGGAACTGCCACAAAGTATTTTAAATAAATGAGTTTGTGCTGGCAGTGCTACAGAGAAAAGATGGAGGTTTGGTTCATCAGACAAATGACAGCCTTGGTGAGAAACACATAAATATGCACATGGTGCAAATAATGTGGTCCTAGCGGCTTTATGCGTTACACTCTAGTACTGCAGTCAAGAAACTGCTGTCCAAAGTTATTTTAAAGTGGTGAAAGTGGATAGGATTTTGAAAACTAAATATGGCAACCCTGCATGAAGACGTCCTCCCACTCCGTGACGCCTGGGGACAGTTATTTCCATCCTCGGTTCTCCTGGCGTCTTTCACAATCGGTCTGTGTATGTCTGTTTGGGTTTGTTTGTGTATGGAGACTAGTGTGTCCCTCATGTGAATATGACGAGAAGTGTGAAACTAAACCTCAGTTTCTGCTCACCATTTTTTGACATTCTAGACAGCACACTTTTTTTTTCTTTTCACAAGTATTAACTACACAGGCCATGGTGCCCCTGGGGTACATGCAGAATGTTTTTCCACACTCTCATCCATCTTCACCTTTTTTTTCCCTGTTTTTCACTCTACGCAGCTGCAGCTCCCCAGCACTGGTGATAGAGAGAGACTAACTAATGGCTGTGGTGTTGAAACAGGGGACTGTGTTAGATCAGTGCTGAACTAAGAACAGCTCTCTGTGGTAGGTAGTAGATGGGTCCTCCTAAAATAGAGGGGCGGTAATATTGTCATAGGGGTTGGAGGGTATGAATCCAACCTGTTAGCAGCCTTCTCACCCAGCCTGATAAATAATGCAGGGTCAAATGGGGCAGAGAGATGTTTAAGTACCTGAGAGAGCAAGCTAGAGGTTGAAGTAAAGTGAAACTGAGGAAATGGATGTTTTGGGCCTGAGAGTCACTTGCTCAGGTGGCAGATATTGTAACCTAGCTGAAAGGTAGCGTGAGAGTGAGTGAGACAGTGTGGCAAGGAGATTAAGGTTAAGAATTCATTTTGGTCCAAAAAGCAATGGTTTCATGTGTTATATTCAGGGATGCACATCATTTTCTTGGTCTGGTTCTCAAAGGCGCACATGGAGATTTTGCCTGGCACTGTACACGGTGTAGTTATCCTACAAACCATCATCACTTCCCTTCTTATTGCTCTCATCACTGTATTCATCTGTTTTGGACACTGTGGATGGGCCTGCTTCTTTCTTCCTGCTCAATCTGCGATGAGCTGACTGTATCCATAGGTTAACACCAGCTTTGGGTCAAATGTCTCTGTTGGCATTTTGAACAAGTGGACAATCAACGTGGATTAAAAGCAGGACTCTGTAATTGCTTTTTATTATATTAAGATGTGAAAATCCCCTCAAACATGCAGCATTGCTCAAGGGCAGTGTAAGGGGCAAAAGAAGAACCTTTTGAATGTTACCTGAATTGCTGTTTTTTGCTTATAGACCAAGTCTTACACTGACGAAGCTCTCAGACTTCCTGCTTGCTTTAAATGCATCCATTTTCTTAAAGTGGAGTCTCTGTCAGCAGACACGTTGTCCTCATATTTCTGAAGTATGCTGCTAAGTGCTGTGTTGCCAAAACTGTGGAGTGTCTGCATCTCATGGGGCCTAGCTGATGGATTAGAAATTGCATGATCGCATGGCTTCAGCGAGACATATTTGATTGCAGATGCATGAATTTGATGTCTCAGTATATCAACTTTGACCCTGTCAGCATCAGCATTTGAGACAGTCTCCTTCCTATACTTGCCTTCACTGTCAAGCAAAAGTGTCAGCTGTGCAGTGAGTTCATCTTTGCATTCACCAAAGGAGGCATTCATTCATGTTCTTGTTGGAACATGACAGAGGTGTGCTGTAAAATGGATCCACTATTAAGCATGTTGGCCAGAAAACACTGAAAACACTCTGTGCAAGTGTGTGTTAGGTCCTCAATTATTGTGAAACTTTCCTAGTCTTACAAAGGCAGTGCCATTCCTACTGCATATTTTTAGCTCTTCTGTTGCGTCTGTGAGTGCTTAAATGTCTCACAGTATGAAATCATGCAATCAGGTGATTTAGTGCAGCTCAGGAGTGGAGGACAAGGGAATCCCTGATTGCCACCATCTCACGTAATTTGATAACAACATCATTTAGACTCCAGCCCTGACTGCAGCTCTGTCTGTGCACACTGACACCAATTTTGATTTCCAATCATTCCCCAAGCCACAGTCATGGAAAGGCTGCACAGTCCCATCCACTATGTCCTGCACTGTTCGATTCACACACAAGTTAATTAATCCAAGGAAACTCCCCTTTACTAGACACAGACACAAGATTTCCTGTTCTAGTTTTGTTTTGTCCAGTGATCCATCAAAAAGCACACCCCGGTATCTGGCTGTCCTTTCACTCAGTTTTGTACTGATTGCCTTTGCAGCGCTCTGTATGATGCATGTCCCCTTCTTCATTCAGTTTATGCTGCCACTTCTCAAGACAAGATTTGTTATCCTGACTGTGCCGATTATGAAACGTTTGCACTATATTTATGTGTTTTTTAGTCTTATCATGCTTTTCAAAAGCATGTCCCTAAATAAAAAGCATTGCTGTTCCATGTGAGACGGTGATTGTCACTGCACCACGTCTATGTGTGGTCATCAGTTTGGAGCCATGAAACCTTCTGCAGCCATTTCTCAGCAAACAGTCACTTCTTATGTTCAGGTTCAGTGTGGTGTTTCTTTGCACCATGTGCCTAGCTTCCTGGATATTTTTCTGATTTGATAAGAATCCCAGAAGCAAAGAAGCGTGCTGTACTAGATAGTTGTAATGTATGCTAACACTATACTGGCACTGCTAATTTTAAAAACAAATCTATGTAACTGAAAAGCACAATTTTTAGATAGCTAACAGCACAATGCTAATTAACTTATTAGCAATAATGCATGGAGAAGAAGCTTGTGATTTTTCTTTCCATACTGCATGTGCTGTTGCCTTGTACTTGTATATGTGTAATGACAATAAAGTTGAATCTAATCTAATATAACCTAAATGCCAAAAACATTAAAGTGTTCCTTTAACATAACATCTGCCATGCATTCTTGATCTTAATCATGCACGCGTGCTAGTAATGTGCGTGTCTGGTTATACTCCTGCCTGAGAAGTAGAGTTTGCGCTATGGATGCACTCTAAGGCATCTATGTGTGTGTGAATATGTGTGTTCCTGGCCAAATGTGAATTTAGAGGCCCCTGGACAGTGGTGAGAAGCTGTGTGATAGTGATCTGATTCAGATGAACTGCAGGCCTGCAGGGGGAAGGTCGTGTTATCTTGTGATCCCTAGTGGCAGGCTGCTAGGACACATATCACAGCATGCCGGACTGCTCCTACGGGTGCACACACACAACACCCACAGTGACACAGTAGTGAACAGAACAGCTCTGGTCTGGCCATGTGCCGGCATGCTTTATGGATGAGCATATTTGCTGAGGTCTTCACACTGCAGTGTCAGTAACCAGATGAAAACTGGCATGGCCCCCACATCCTGCCTTTCTCCTCCTACATATGGTTTTCACATATGTCCTCTTTTCAATGTTTGGATTAGACTGCCAAGGTCGGATGTAGGTCAGCCATGGAAGGCTCAACCACTTTGAGCTCTGCTCCTTAGCTGTGCCGCCTGCTGTCATGTTACTCGGCTAACCCCCAAGCTTCGAAGGCAAAGCTCAAGAGGCTTTGTGTGAACTTACATCACATTTCTCTTACTTGACTATCCAAGAGTTTGACACACATTCATACACACAAAGGCCTGGGTGTGTGTGCACACATTTGCCCACATAACCTCCCACCCTCCCAGAAGATCTTCTTTTGACAGACATATGACCTTGCATTCCCCCCCACCCCGTGATGTTTTATAGAGAGTCTGTCTGTTCTTTGCTGCTGTCACCATCTGAACAGACTGATGAATGTTTGGGTGGAGGGAGGCAGGCGGGGACGGACAGATGATAGAGCCATCAGCTTTCATGGGTGGAGGAGGGCCTAGTGACATGTGACATCACTCATGCCCAGTATCAGGGAACTCATGCTACCCTTCAAGATTTACTGTCCTAGTCATAAACGTGGCCAGCCGGCTCTGATGAATAAAGAAGAAAGAGGCCAAAACAGCTGGCTGTGCTTTGGCCCAGTGCAGTCAGGGCAGATCATGTACCTCTTATGACATATGACATTAGACATAAGGTTTTTCCACTGTTTTTGTAGTTAGGTGGTCTTCACATTCAAAGCTTCACAGAGGGACTACATCATTCATCAAGAGAAAGGACAAAGGAAAACAGAGCTAAGGTTTCACAAAGGGCTAATGATATCAGCAAATAACAGTTGTTGTAACCCCATCCTACATGGAGCCACAGAGGGATGACATTGGCCTCATAGCATGACATAATAAAATGCCACATTTTGGCAATTAAAAGTCATTTAATTATCAGTTGTTTCCCCATTCTTTGATCTGTCGCTGTCTAAACAGCCCTCATGGAGTATCTCCACCTACCTGATTCTCCAAGTAGATTAATGATGATCATACTGATATAAATAGCCATCACTGACCTGTTCATGTTCTGTCTTTCTCAGATTCGTGTTGACGGGCCTCCCCACGGAGGTGTCCAATATGAGACTATAGCGGTCATCAAGGACGGCAGCCCTGTCCTCAGAGATATGGCCTTCTCCCTCGACCGCAACTACCTCTACATCATGTCTGAGAGACAGGTAGGTGTTGGAAATATGCTAACCCTCATGTAGGAGAATGGACGGTTTAAGTGTGTGTGTGTGTGTGTGTGTTTGTGTGCATATATGTAAATGACAGGATGTGTTTGAATGTGTGTGTGCTGGGCCAAAGATGGCTCGCCTCCCAACTTCACTAGCACTTCCACTTTCTGTTATCTATAAATAACCTGGCTGGCATAGTGGGGGACATTGTGACAGTGTTTGATAATAGAGAACAATGAGGGCAGGGAGAAAGAAAGAAATACAGAGACAAGGAAAAGACACGGCATAAGAGGTAGAGATATGAAGGGCAGTGTGTGGCTGGCAGGCTGGCTGGCTGGCTGGCTGAGGCACAGGATGGGAGGAAGAGTGATGAGGAAAAGAGGAACAGCTGGAGGAGTGTTTGACTTAGAGTAAAGAGAGACACTGGGGTAAAAAGACAGAGTGCTAGGTCATCCTTTCACACTTCTAATGAAGTGACACAGCATCGCAGGGTGGGGGGAAATAGCCAATAGCAGAAGAGGTGAGGGCAAACAAGGGTGGAAGGTGACACAAGGACAGCGTGCAGGTGAAGAGTTGAGAGGAGAAGGAAATAGATGAAGAGAGGCGGAGCAGCTGCGAGAGAACGCGGCAGCGCAGCAACCCTAGAGACAGACGATGTGCGAGGCTGTCAGTGTGAGGTGATAGATTGCCGTCCTCTCCCCTTATCTCTGCTTTTAACACACTCACTGACGGGATGGCCAGAGCTTACAAGGTTAGGAACCGCGGTGGGTGGATATGGTGTGAAGGAGATATTTAGATAATAGAGTCCAATGCTGAGAGACAGGAAGAAAGGACCAAAGAGATTTACTGTATCCGGCAGTTGCTGTTTTTCCCCTCAGCATCTGTGACTAACACACCACTGTGCTGTGTTTGATTTGTTTCATGCCACTCTGTAAAAAAAACATAGTTGCTCGATTTTAGTCAGCCACTCACCTGCAATCACTATAATAACCATAATAACCAATTATTGCTGAGCACAATTCTGCTAATCTGAACAAATGATATGTCCAATTATTTAAAAAAATGTTGGAACATTTGTAACCTACATCCACATCATACAGCTTGTGCTTAATGTTATATTTATCGATGTGTCGAGGATACAAATTTAAATAGATTCATGCACAAAGACAATATATGCACATGTATCTGAGATGATGACTCTGTTGCAAGGGATGACATGAATTCCACAAGTAAAGGAGCATTTGTATCCAGCCTAAAGTCTGTTTCCCATATTTACTAAACCCTTTATTTGCACTTATTCTGTGGATGAGACAAGCTTTTGATGTGGAACTTATAACTGGTCTGAATGAAAAGTGATGTCGGTGAACGTCATTTGTATTCAGCTTGTCGACTCTTCTGTCTAGCTCTCCAGGGGTTGGGCAGGATTGAAGCAGACACACACACACACACACACACACACACACACACACACACACACTCACACTGAATCGCTCTCAAGTACTTTGGGCGTGTTGCCCTGCATGTTCAAGGATAACACTCGATAGTCACACCTGACAGAACAACTGAATTGGGATTTAATGTGGCTACACACTCATTCAACCTTTTTTACATACATTTGTTAAAACTCAACAACAACAGATTTTTTTTAATCTGTTAATATGTAAATCTGGAGAGTTAAAGCAACCAAAAGAATCCAAAAAATTAGAACTGAATCTCATAATATTTTGAAACTTAAAGGTTGGACTTGCTCCTGTTTCATTCGTCTAGACTGAACTACACATAACAATGCATATCATATTCAGTGTACTCTCTCTGTTTTAACCCTTTTCTCCTCTGGCTTGATGAATTTATAGTGTATAATCTTGGGTACCACGTTGCATTTTGCAGCAATTTAGTAGCACTGTAAAATACCCAGCAGTCAGGTCTTTCATAGCTGGCATTCAGTGAAAAATATCTATTTGACCTTTACATCAGCATTAACCCAGATGTCACCTTGAGCTACACGTGGAGTCAGACATCCAGGACATTACCAGGTCTATCTTGTCTGAGCTCCACTTATTCCCGTGTGTCTGGCTGATGCCGTCTGAGGCCAAGTGCACAGTGAGAGGAGACGGCAAGAACAAAGGAGGGATGATATTGAACAGAAACCAGGGCAGATTTGGCTCGAGTTTCCTACTCTGAATAACAAAGAGGCCCTCTATGTTTGGCATAGTGGGAAAAAGAGGATACAGGCAAAGCTAGAGAGAAACAAACATTGAACAAGGGATTGAGAGGAAGACACAAAATGGGAGAGAGTAGTTCCTCAGCGAGGCCGTGCTCCAGAATCTGAGCTCTGGTTCCCTGCAGTCCTCACACCTGTCTGTGTGTGTTGTGGCGAAGCTGAGAATCGTAGGATGTGTGAGGCCTTTGTAAACACAAACATGCAGACAGGCACCCACAGGGGCACTCACACACACGAAGCACATGCTCCCTCAGCTTTCATTTGCATAGGTACCAACAGAATGCACTGGCTCCTGCTATCATATGTACATTCGCAGAAAAAAGCTGCAATTACAGACACGTGCCTGCACCAGTCTACCATTCAGTATTCAAATGGAAGCTCCATGAGGCTTTCTGTGGCTTTATATATAGCCTTTTCTCTCCCCGTCCTACACCTACTGCATAAGTATAGATCTTCTTCAGTCTGACACATTCACTGCCTAACCCAAGTTAGTTTTCAGTATGCGAATGAACTTTCTGCTCTCTCGCGTTTTCATTTGTTTCTTTCTCACACTCCCACACCAGATACCATCATTTACTCACCCCCAAACATATTTAATAGCTCCCTGTTTCATATTCGATCCGTGGTGCTGCCATGTTAAACTGTGCATTTGTTTTGTAGATGTAATGACAATAGCATCCACCATATTAATGATGTGATGAGATTGGCCCAATGCGAGGCAGCGCAGTGGAACTGATGAAAAGACCTGGCTCACTGACTTTCACTTCTCCAGGAGCAGTGTGTGTGTGTGTGTGTGTGTGTGTGTGTGTGCTTTCCTGTAGGGTGCTGTATCATTACTGACAGCGCTGAAATACATAACAGCAGGTTTTCATCTCAAAATTTATCTTTAGACATCAGTATACATCCACTATGGTGCCTCTATTGAAAAAACATCAAAAACAGGTTTGTTGCATCACTATGAATTAAATTTAAAAGTTTTAATATATTACACTTTAATAATCCAGTGAGGAAAGTTCTTAGTGATGATGGTGCTGTCAGTCACTGCCTGGCTGCCAGGGGTGACTAGGGATTCACCGTCTTGCCCAAGGACACTTCCACATGTGGACTGGGGAGAATGGGAACTGAACCACCAACCTTCTGATTCCTCCAACTGTGTTTGTGCAGATCTATTGTGTGGATTTTTGCCAGAAGTGTGTGAGTCATGTTGCGTCAGTATGTGTGCGTGACTGCTTCTACATTTGGACCTATAATCCAGTGATTTTGGAATGTGGCTGGGTATCAGTGCTGCTGACAAACACAGTGATGGGGTGACAAAGGTCACGGCTATTGCGCGCTGAGCTGCCTCCTAGAGGAGTCCTCGACTTTTCCTTTTTCTGCATCATATGAAATATATTAGATTCCTGAACCACCTCACAGCATTAAATATAGCATGAAAAGCTGTAGGTTTCAAAGTGAACACCACATCTTCCATTGCTTCAACAAAGCACACAAGCTGTAGGTGTACTGTATAGACAGCAAGATACACTGTACCTACAGTACAGATATAATAACTGCAGCAGAAGCTGTACTGAAACAGGTAGAAGAAGTCTTCATGTGTGAATGGCAGCTGAAGCAGAGCTAAACCCCTGGTTCTGTTGCCAGCTCATGCAAATTCAGTTTGCTGGATCTGCCTGAGTGTTTGGCCTGGCCTCATCCCCAATGACTGGAGTCTGTCTCTTTCTCGCTGTCTCTCATTCATTAGCCACCCCTCCCTTCTTTTCGCTCTTGCTCATGTTTCTTTTCTTTGGGATATCTGTGTGTGTGTGTGTGTGAATGCGAAAGGCCCTCAGTTTGTCCTTTAGCACTGTGACCATGTTCTGCATTTGTGTGTGTTGTGCCGTGTTTTCAGGAGCTCATACTCGTGAACCATGCCTGACACTAAGGCCCACTCAAGGTCCTAAGCAGCACTGGTTGTCTTTGATGCCAGTTTATCAGCACAATGCAGCGCACTGGGATAAATGGTGACAACTATTCCAGCAGCGAATGGCGTCTTTTGAGGCCTGCATCATCAAATTTTTTATGAAGCCTTTTATTCCCTTTGTGGCGTATTGTGCAGTTATGGCCGCCGTCACCCAGCAGTAGGGCTAGCACTCATCACGTGCAGCTGAGAATCAGTGACTGCATTATGTTGGGTGCTTTGGTCAGCGGCCAGTAAGCAGGGCCCAGGCTATAATGTATTATTCATGGAGAAACAATCAGGATTTAACATCTGAAAGGGTTTTGAAGTGATACCTGTGGCGAGGCTTTAATTCTGCCTAGAAACCTTAATAAAGATAAACACTGCACACATAAAAAATAAATAAATAAAAGTGTTTATGTTTTTGTCATGTTGTAATTAATCCCCAAGAAAAGAGACAGATGTAGACTTTGTAATGGAGCTCAGTGGGTTCTGCAGTGTTTTATGACTGTGGTACACAAGAATACATAATAGACTTTAACAGACTTAATAGGGTTCCCAGTGAAATAGAGGCCCTCTAATTACCAGCTTTTTATACGGATACATGTGAAATTCTTGCTAGCATGACCAGCTGAGGGATACTGAGCTGGCTTGTAAAACAGACTCGTCTTTCATGGACAGACGCACAGTCCCCCCGCCTATAGAAGCGTTCAGCCATTTGCTGCTGTCACTCTCCAATACACTCTTGGCTCTTTAGCAAACATTAAATCCCCTCAGCCTCCAATTCTCATACGCCATCCTTCCTCTCTTAGTCAGGGCCATGTATGGAACGGCTACATTACA